TGAATTATAGGCGCGCAATGGGCTGGATTGATGGCCAAAGAATGGAGAATCGTGTCGTACGTTTTAGCCTGTATCTCCGGATTGCGGGTGTCTACGAGGAAACGATTTCGCACGATGATTGGCGAATGTACTGTGTCCGATTTGAGCTCAAGTTGGATGAGTTACGCGTAGTAAATCGTAGATATTATAAGGCTAGTAAATGACGAATTTCCCTTGTTTATTGATGTCACACTCCTCCCTATTATCTACTCCTGATGTATATATATATATTCAAAAGCGTATAAAGAAGGAGAGCGTACAACGGTGAAATGCAGAAACCATGTTGCAGTATTAGTCGAATTAATAAACTTTCCCCGTTTTATTTTGACAATTCTTGTTAATATAAAACAAACCGCATGTCTCTACGATGCTCCTAGTCGTACGCTGAGATAAGGAGCGGTGAAAATCTGGTATTTTCGCCAAAAACCGACTCGAGATACCTGCTGACTGCGACTGTCTCTCGCTTTGAGATAACTTGAACGTCTGTTATTGATTGCCATAGTGATGACCCCCACCTATGGCCACCTCACGCTAGATGTAGTAAACTCTGTAGTACTAGTACTGACGTAATGAGTCAGCGCTACCATGGCGCTACACAGCGGCGACCGGAAGCAATACACTGGCCACAAAGCGAGAGAGGGTCGCAGCAAACAGGGATCCCGAGTCGGTTTTCTGCAAAAATACCAGATTTTCACCGCATTATCTCAGCGTAGAGGCATCGTAGGGACAAGCGGTTTGTTTTATATTAGCAAGGTAGGACAGCTGATCAATAATACCGCAGAGAATTGTCAAAATAAAACGGGCAAAGTTTCTTAATTCAACTAATACTGCAACATGGTTTCAGCATTTCACCGTTGCACGTTCTCCTTCTTTATACGCTCTTGATATATTATATATATATATATATATATATCGTGTCGACGCAGCGTTAGCGCAGCAGCAGCACACGGCGACACCTCGTAAGTGCAGCGCGGCAGCATTACTGGGTCGGTCACCCTCACACTCGCTCTCTAGCTCACGCGCATCTTCACAGCTCCCAGGAGAGCACTCCCCTCCCCACCCCCCCGCTCATCGTGCGCCGCGAAATGTCGGCGGATGATAATTGTACGACGAGCGACCGAGTCACGGCTGCGCGACAACGTTTCCGCGTGCGTGTAATAGCCTCTGCTGCGCGGCCACGACCATCTCTGCTAACATCCCTAACGTATATAATGCATACATGTAAGTATTGCAACGGCAGGAAAGATGACATGAACAGTCGGATAGCTTGCTCGAAATGCTCACTTTAAAATGGTTTCTTCCGCATCGTGCTTTTCCCCCGCCACAAAAAAAAAATCAGTACAGCACCGTGTCTTTGCATGAGGCCAAAACAAAATATAGGTGTGGTTACGGTTTCCCGACCGACCCTATTTATTTCCAGCGACCCTAAACATTTTATTGTCAATTTTCTTTACAGTCAAAAAAATTTTAAAATTTAAAAAAATTTAAACATTTAAAAATATGAATTGGACAGTTCCTGCTTCAAAAGGCACAACGCACATCCTTCAGACATGGTTCGTAAATATAATATTTCAAGAAAATAAAATGTTTTCCCTACCTACCTACCCTATTTTTTTCCGGCATGTAACGGTAACCACACATATATTTTGTTTTGGCCTGACAAAAAGTGCTACCTGGGACAATCATGAACTTGAATGAAACTACAAGCAGCAGAGAAATGGAAAGAATGGCAACAATCGCCGTTTCTTTGTGTTAGATTACCATATATTGATTAATAAATATGTCAACTAAATCTGGAGCTGTCGCCGTTCTAGGTCGTAACGTCAGTCCTATATTCCGCGTAAACTGTTTACGTAAAAACCATAGTTACAGGATAAATACTTCTTCGTTATTTTGTGTCGGTCTTATTTATTATTTATACGTGAAATATGATCACGACAAGCACGTCTGGCAGATTTGCGCAATAAATTGATTTGAGCTGAATATTCGGTCATATATTTCTCATCCAATATCACTCAGCAGCTGTGTGACAGCAATTAGAATGGTCCTATTTATCGTTGGTGTGCTCGCAGCGGTTCAAGGATAGAGATGATGTCCAGATTGAGACCTATGTCATTTTCGTCAATGTGGGGGTAGCCCCTTTAAAATCGACAGGGGTGTTGTTGAACGTGTTGTTTGTTCATTTCGACCGAGAAACATTATGTCAGTTCACAGGAAGTGTCAAAAAAACTGTGTTTAAGCGACACTACCCGACTGTTTCTCACCATTGCTACACGCGAGAATTTCCCCGTGATCTTCCTGTGCTACGGCGCACAAATCTATCTGCGTATTTGCGTGCGGCATTTACGGACTCATACTACTTGCTCTCCGCAGTAAATTAACTAAAAATCCGTTGATATTCGTTGATTTTTTGGAAAGTCATAAATGAAATAAGAAATGGTACGCCATTGATGTTGTTGACTGGTCCCTACTGCCCTCTCGCGGCCATCTGGTGATGTATATGAATTCGCCCCCGCCCCCTCTTCCAGCTCCCACTGGCTGCGCACGTCTGAATGTCGCTGGGGGCGCGTAAGGGGGGTGGTGCATACAGTGGTGATAGCCTGCGCGGTATATACAACCAAGATATGATAAAACCCACGCAAACGCCCATTCTTCAAGTTTCACTTTTTCCATTTTTTTGGCCGTGCAGTTTCAAAACGGACCGTGCAAATCACTGCTGCACGGCTCGCTGGCTAATACGCATAAACACACAACAGACACACTCACAGTCTTGCACATACAAACAGACATGTATGTATACACACACACACACGAACACACATATGCAGACATATAGATATATTCATCCATTCGACAAATCCCCCTTCCCTTCGCGCTGCCGCTGGCTGGTTGTCACGCGCCTTGCTCTTGCTCGCGTAGATTACAGCAAAGACGCGCCTGTATTTTATGAGTATATATATATATCCTTAATTGAGCCTCGCAGCCACGACATGTGTCTGACAATGTCTTTGTCGTATCTTTTACTAGTGCTCAGCGTAATAAGCATTCCTTTCAATTACAGTCGTGAAGCTTTATCAAACTCACGAACGTTTCTGACGTCTGCAATCATGCACAAACAGAGGTTTAATTTTCAATATTTTAACTTTAACATTCTGTGCGTTTTCCTTTCTAATTCTATCTTAACGTTACACGATTTAAAAATAGACAGACTCATTTGAGCAAAGCCCATGCTAGAGAACTCCATTAGGCTACTTTAGATTTGCAAAACGAATGAATTACTGGCGAATTAGCATTTTCTTATGCCTAGTATTAGTAAAACTAAAATCAAGTAATTGCTGCCGGCTTTGTGCACATCATCACATGCACTTAGGCCGTTTCATTAATAAAATTATCAATAAACACAAACTGCATTTACTACCAAATTTTGTGTTTGTATACTTCCTAATCCTATCGCCTGATAATTCTACGCAAATGTCATTCAAATGTTCAACACACAATTAAATTTCATCGCAAGCACCTCACGCCACTGTCGCTGAAGTATATGTTGTATATAAGTCATTGTCGTATATGTAGTACCCGAGGTGTCGGCGAGTATGTCACTACGCCTACTCCCTAACGGCCCAAGGATAGAGAACATGGGTCCCAATAAAACCAATGTGCCTAACCCTAACCCTAACCTAAACCGACCAGGCTCTCCGACTGTTACTAACGACGGACGCCACGTAGTGTTAAGCGAGATGGGAACTTGTGGCTAACCCTAACCATAACCCTAACCTATTAATATTATATTGATATAATATTATATTTATATTGATGTAAATGACATTAGTTTTATTGGGACCCATGTTCTCTATCCTTGAACCACCCTGGCCATATCAAATAGTTACCTCGGGTACATATTATACACCGTTAACTTATACGACAACGACCCTTCGTGCGTCACTGTCTCAGTCAGTGTCTGTGCATCAACTCACAAAAACGACAGCTATAATTAGGCCTACATTTGAACAGCATTTGCGTGGGATTATCATTATTACGCGGTAAGGAGTACACAAACACATGCTTTGGTTGTAGATATAAATTGTGTTTATATGCCAGTTTATTACTGAAAGTGAAACATACCAAGTATTATTATAATATTAATATTATATTATTATTAAACTGCCTATGTGATTGATATGACAACACAGTCACAGCCTCAGCAGGTAAACAAACACCAGTGCCAGTGGCGTTCAAATACTGCGTGAAACAGATACATCATACTGCTGTAACTGGCGTAAATACCTCTAAATAGTAAAGATCTGTTGGTGTTATTTGAGAATCCAGAAAATCTTCATATGTTTCAAACTCGGTCAGCGCGTTGTCGGTGACGGAAGAATAGGTTGGAGTTTCCTCCGTCATATTTACGGTGTTACCAGGGTGAATCGACCGCAGCGCCATCGCGCAGCGTGCGATCGAAGCGCCTAAGGCGGACAGGACGAACAACAAAATTAACCTCCTAACCCCTCATAATATATATATTAATTCTCTATAAAGCATTTAATGTTGTTAGCAGCATCACGAATAACACGGTCATGGGAATGAAGTGCATGCGGTATATATGGTTGAGCTCAGAATAATGTGTAGATTGCAATGGGGACAGTATCACGTGTTTGGTGCAAGGGATACCCGGCCAGAGGACGGGTTTTCAGCTAGTAAAATTTATTAATCACAACCTCATAAACTTTATGATGAATAATCATTATAATGTTTAGCGATGATAAAGATTAGTCTTGAAAGTCCAGGAGACTATATATCGAAGACAGAGAGAGACAAACTTAATCAGATGGCCAGATCAATACTGCGGATTGCAGTAGAAAAAGTTCCACCTTTGCAATCAACAAGAGTACCAGTAGTAGTAGATATAATCTTTATTTTCATCGGTACATTTAAAACAGTGAACATGAGCTGGACCGAAGAGAAAAAAGAACATAAGGTCCAGCATGGAATAACGAAAACTAATCTAATGGCAGCAATATAGCGAACTACCGACTGTTTTGTCGGGAATTAATTGAGCACACGTGTACCGCAGGGATGCACACACCGCGGTGAGGTCAGATCTCGCAAATACGTATAGGGGTCTACGTGTATATAGTCGTGTGTTTATGCATATCGAGAATTATGCGAGGGTCGACATCGCTGCTGCTAACAATAGGGTCGGTTATATTTATCCTATGTCTTATTATGTACGCTCTTAAGCGTATGTATGCATGTCGCTGAGGAGGATCACATTGCAATTAGCATTAATTAATAGGACTATAGGAAACGAACCTTAATTGCGCCTAAATTCATTTTTATTATTAAATCTTTATTGCATGTAATTCAAATACATGTACTGAAGACAGTCTTTTTCATGGAGAAAACTCTGATAAATGCAATAGTGTGTGAGTGAGCGATAATAGCATAAGCCGGATTACACGGACATGTGCGCACGAAAAACATGCGCATACAGGCGCACGCACACACATGCACGCACGCACGCATACACACACACACACACACACACACACACACACACACACACACACACACACACACACTCATATACCTACAGTTAATAGTGTATGTAAAGTCACTGAAGGGGAATCCCCCAAACTGTCATCATCTGTGTTTCACATAGAGGTGGTTTTACTGTTTACTGTATAAATGCCTCTCACGTGTCCGTTCTATGAAGGTGTCCGCTCTATGGAGATGTCCGCTAACACAGTACTGAGAATATAAATAAAAAAATAAAAAAAAAATAAAAAAA